CTGGCCCTTATCAACTGAGGTGCTGCTTGCTCCCGGGATTTTTGAGGTTACCAAGCTTATGTATTTTATATTCTTGTTCAGTTTATTCACCCTGATGACAAGATTACGTTAATTGATTATATTGTTGTTATACTATTGCTGTTACTTTAAGCCTCTCCCAGCCTGGATCCTCCAATTGTCCTCAGCTGGCTGGGTTTGGGTCCCCAGTGTCCCCTGACCGGGGCTCCTCAAGATTTCACTGAGGGTGGTGCAGATGCAGTAAGTTGTTACATGTAGGCTCACCCCACTTAGGACCACACACACACTCTCGAGGCCATACCCCTTTCCGCATCCATGATCCTTGAGTTCCCGACAAAACATTCTGCGTTTTTCCTGTTAGCTATCCCCAAGCCCACAGTTGCTCGATACCGGATCGCATATACACACAGCCTACCTCGACTATTTACATTTGCTCCTAATATGCTCATCCATCAGGACAATTACACCTGTGGCTTATTGAGTCGCCCCGAACCCACCAGACCCATGGGCGAGGTGCCTGTAGCCACTGATATCGCCCTTCCTCCTCAATTAATGCTTTTAAAAGGATCCTCCGGCTGGCGGATTCCCCATTTAGGTTCTCGGCCTCCTCGCTCCCCACACAGTGGGCTCACTGAGCATCCACTGACCCACTCCAGATATTTCCTCCTCTTTTCTTTCCCTTTTCCTATTCCTCCTTCCTACACTTTTCCCCCCTCTTTTCTCTTCTCTTTTTCTCTCTCCCATTATCGGGGATAGAGCGGGTCTACATTCCCCTCTGGATATCCTACCCTTGCACACCACTCTTCCCCCCCCCAGTCCTCCCCTACCCCTTGCCCCCCCCTTTGCTCCCTCTCCCCATCTCCTCCCCATCCTCGGCTCCTTTCCCCCCCTCCCCTTTTTTTTTTGTTATTTTGTTTTGTTTGTTGCTCTTTGTTGCTCACTCTCTCTCTTTTCCTCCTACTTTCACTTCTCCTCCCCCCACCATTATGACCAAACCCAGAACTTCATCAGGTTATCGACCTTAAAAGTAATTTTCCTTAATGTGAAGGGGTTAAATACTCCCGAAAGAAGGTCCCTCTTGCTCTCGTACATGTGCAAACATAAGGCAGACTTGGTATTCCTAAAGGAGACTCACTTCCGTCAGGACGCAGTCCCTAAACTTTACAATGCATGTTTTCCGACAGTTTTTCATACCTCTAATCCCATAGCCAAATCTAAAGAAGTCGCCGTACTAATTGCCAAACACCTTCTGCTGATTGTTTCAGACTCTCTAATTGACCCAGAAGGCAGATATTTATTCCTCAAGAGCACATTAGCTGACAGACCCATCACTCTTGCAAATTTATATGCGCCAAACACCAAGCAAGTTCCCTTTTTCGTGGGATTTCCTCATTAATCTCCTCCTTCCAATCGGGAATGCTGATCCTGGGGGGGGGGGACCTTAATGGCCCTCTATGCCCACTACTAGATTCCTCCTCAGGTTCCTCGTTTCTGCCCTATAGATCGTTGTGCCAGATTCATACCCAATTCCAAGATCTCCAACTCCACGATTCAAGGAGAGTGTTCCACCCGTATGACAAAGATTATCTGTTCTTTTCCACCCCCCATAACAAATATTCCAGAATAGACTACCTTTTTCTCTCCTAAGTAGACCTTCCTTTTCTACATAACTCCACCATAGATCCTATGTTCCTCTAGGACCACCATCCCATTTCCATGACCTTAAGCTTCTCTGAAAAACACTTCCGCACTAAAGTGTGGCGACTGGATGCGTCCCTCCTTGCTGACGTAGCAAAATGAGGCTGAAGTGCGCTCCAAACTTGGGGAGTATTTCCTGACTAACCAAACTTCCGACACCTCTTCCTTAACCCAGTGGGAACCACATAAATGTGTACCCCAAGGGACTTTCATTGCGATGACAACTAAGAGTAAATGGGAGAGACAGGCGACCATTAAACTCTTACTGGACCGAATCAGCTATCTGGAAAAGGCTTACAAACACACCCAGGCTAAAACGACCTTAGCAGAACTCACAACTACCCACTCACAACTGATGTTGGAACTCGGTAAGGTGGTTAAACGCAGATTTACTATCTCCCAGAAGTTTTTATATGAGTACGCAAACAAGAGTGGCAGATTCCTGGCTAGAGCCCTCGAGCAAAAAAAGTCAATATGACAGTCTATAAAATAAGGGGTTCAGACGGCTCCGTGGCCACCTCGAACAGTGACATTGCCTCCCACTTTGAAAGGTATTATTCCGATCTTTACAACCTTGCTCCAGAACGTCCTCCAACTAAATCAGAGAAATCCAGATCCTCCCTGATCTCGGAGTTCCTACACCTATCCAGCCCTCCTGCAATCTCTGATGACCTTGCACAGGACCTGGAACGAAACATCTCTTCTGATGAATTACTCCTGGCCCTCAAACAAATGAAACCTGGCAAAAGCCCAGGCCCGGATGGCCTCCCTGTTGCTTACTACAAGAAATTCATAGACACCCTGCGGGATCCTTGTCTTGAGGCCTTCAATTCTTTCAATTTCCCTTCCGCCTCTCCAAACCGTTTCCTGGAAGCCCATATTACTTTCATACCCAAAGGGGGAAAGGACACAACCTCAGTTACTAGCTATAGGCCTATCTCACTCTTGAATGTCAACATCAAACTTTACGCTAAAATCTTAGCCAATCGACTCATACCACTGCTACCTTCCTTGGTGAACCTAGACCAAGTAGGTTTCATCCCAGGGAGGGAAGCGAGAAACAATACTACCAAGGCCCTGAATATACTCCATTTCCTCCGTTCTTCACAACAGCCTGGCTTCCTTCTCTCCCTGGACGCAGAGAAAGCCTTTTCGACAGGGTGGCCTGGGTCTACCTACAGGCTTTCCTGACCGCACTAGGTCTAAGACAGAATATGCTTAATTACATCATGACTTTGTACTCAAGTCCAACGGCCCAAGTCCGGGTAAATGGACGAGACCCTTCCCTCTCAAAAACGGCTGCCCCCTTTCACCGCTTTTCTTTGTCTTATCGCTAGAACTCTTGCTTTGTAAACTCTGGATGAATCCCAATATCAAGGGAATCTCCATTGAGGGACATATGCATAAAATTGCAGCTTATGCGGACGATATTTTGCGGTTTCTATCGGAACCCAGAACCACCTTGCCCAACCTTCTTAAAGACTTTCACTCCTTTCAATTCCTCTCCAATCTCAAAATGAATTTCTCCAAACCCTGTGCTCTAAAGGTTACCCTTCCGCTAGAGGTGGTCGATGCATGTAAATCACACTTCCCATTCAAATGGAAAACGGAAGCCCTTACATATCTTGGCATACAGCTCCCTAATACTCTCCAGCAGCTTTACGCAAAAAACTTTACCCCTGCCCTTCGAGCCATTCAGGAAGACCTCTCGACTTGGCATCGGCCATGTTTTTCCTGGTTTGGAAGGGCCGTGATCCTCAAAAATGAACATCCTCCCCAGCCTTCTCTACCTGTTCCAGACCATTCCTATCCACTTGCCTCTGGCTTTCTTTGCTCTTTGCAGGAGAATCTACTCACAGTTCCTATGGAGTTACAAATGGCCACGTATTTCCTTTTCTCAATTGATCCTCCCCAAATCGGGCTCCCCGATCTTCAAAAATATCACTGGGCCTGTCATCTCACCAGGATTATAGATTGGAATGTGCATTCATCCACAAAAGCTTGGGTTTGTCTCGAGGATTCCCTTTCTTCCTCTTCTTTGGCATTGATTCCTTGGCTTTCATTGAAACATACCCCCATGATGCTTCATACACATCCACTGATTGGAGCGACTTTGAAGATCTTCCAGTCAGCTTGCAAATCCTGCTTTCATTTCTAATGCCCCTAATCCTCTTACCTCCCTACGCATGAATTCCCACTGGGCATGCACCCATCTTTTATTTCAGACCATTGGCCTCACCAACATGTGCGTGCAGAACACTTCTTTTGTAATGGCCAGTTGAAGACCCTAGCCTCACTCATCTCCTCCATGAAGGATCACACCTTCCCCTTTTGGGCATACCTCCAAATAAGGCATTTCTCTGATCTAAAGCTCACCACAACAAGTGGACCCGCCCTCTCACCCCCCTCGAAGCTCTTTGATTTCCACCACATATCTTCTCCTATTTGGAGACCGATCCCCTTTTACACTACCGGCCTGTCGAGCTTGGACGAGAGACTCGGACATCGATTTATCTCCTTTGGATTGGGACCAAACATTCACTTATACACATAAAGGTTCCTTGAACGTATCTACGCAAGAAAAATGGATATAAATTGGTCTCCCGCTGGTACAGGACCCCCTCCAGACTCCATTGCTTTAACCCGAGCCTATCCAAATCATGTTGGAGATGGGATTCCGAGAATGGTTCACTTCTTCATATTTGGTGGTCCTGCCCTGCCATCCAACCATTCTGGGAAGGGGTCCATCGCATAACCTCATTGGTCTCTTTACCTCTTGACTTTTCCCCAGCCCAATCTCTCCTCCAGCATACCTCTATCCCCAGGTGCCTCTACTTCAAGTCTCTAGCAATGCACAAGTTAAACGCAGCCAAATTAAGCATACCAGTCCTATGGAGGTCTACCCGACCCCCATCGATTTGAGAATGGCTGATCTGTCTGAATAGAGTAGCAGAGATGGAGGAACTCATCGAAACATCACGCGACAATCCAACCAAATTCTCTCACACATGGACCTGTTGGATCCTGTCACAATCCAACCGGCGGTATCTCTAGCAACCCACAGAACGGGATTTCCCAGGGTGCGGGGTCTAAGCACAACAATCTGCTTATTCACCAGGGCCCCTGATGGTGGGGATGGACTTGGAGCAGACTGAGACCAGGTCGCTACCCCTGAGTGCACCCGACTGTGGTAGAGGGAACCGCCGGAGGTATGTATCGGAAGAGAGTCTGATGTGAAGAGGCTGGCAGACCTGGGCAGTGGTGACCGGATCCGTGCAGGATGGATGGATGACCAAGTACGTGTAGCGTAGTCAGGCAGGCCGGGTCGGTAACAGCAGAGGCAGAACGGTACAGAGCAGCGGACAGACAGTAGTCGGGTCACAAGCCAGGTTTCAGCAACAGGAGGTCAGGTAATCAGGAGTAAGCAAAAGAATAGTCGGACGAGCCAGGGATCAGAGCAGGAGATGGTCAGCAGAGGTCAGGATCAAGCAGGGTCTGTAACAAGGTATCTCACGCAGGAACAGACGAGCAGGGAACAGGGAATGAAGACCATACGGCCATGTGAGCATTGCATGAGCTGGTTTAAAAAGCCCGCCCCGCGCCGACAGGCGCGCCTGGGTCCTAGTGCCTGCCCAGCGTCATTGGTGACAGGCGCGCCTGGGTCCTAATGCTCGCCTTCCTGTATGTCTTGTCGGGATCTGAAAGAAATTAATTAATCAAATTTATGATTTGGCACTTATATCGATGGCAAGCTTGCAAAATATTTGTTTTTTATGATTAACCATAATTAATATTAATATGTGTGAATGGTCTTTTGACAAATGGTAGTATTACAATTCTTCAGATATAGCTGAGACTGAAAAATATGAATAAGTTAAGCTGAGACAGTAAAATAAGACAGGAGTTAAGCTGAACTAGCTATCCAGCTGAAGGCTGAGTATTCTATATTTAGGCACAGCTGGTTAAGTCTCTAGTAAAATGTCAAAGGTATTAGAAGTGACTTAATATTACATTATGTATTTTAATAGTATCTGTGTGTATTTAGTATAAGTTTCTAATATTGATACATATATTTTAGTGATTATACATTGATATGTTGTAAAGATACGTTCTTAAGTTATATTATCATATGAATAGCTGAGGTTACATCATCAGCTTACAGTATTATGTACATCAGCATGTACCTGTCCATCAAACATCATATATATATATATATAGCATCCCCTGTCTTCTATTATATTGCTTTGCTAGCAGTACTGACTTCCTTACAAGGTATTAAGAATCTCAAACTATGATGTGTATTCACTTCATAAAAGGTCCAGAAGCGACAGTGGAGGGACGGACTCTCGCGAACACGGACACTCTTTCATACACAGACACACACATATGTCTGAGAACCTTCTAAGAAGCTGCAATAAGTGCTTGCTGTAAGACCAGATCATCACTTCCGTCTATTTCCGGCTTCTTCACAAAGTCTCGAGAAGGACAAGGAGAGCATGAAGGACAGAACAACGCATGGCCGGACATCTATGATAATAATGGTGACTTTTCTTTAAACTTCTGCTTGATATTTCTACAGTAGTTTTATCTACATGGAACTGTTCATGATACGCTTTACATTGTTATTTTAAGCCATTGTGTGATAAAATAAAATCACACTTTATTTTTTATTTCAACGACTCTTTCTAAAAATCCTACAGGATCTTGTCTAAAATCCTACAGGATCCTACGCCTGTGCAGATTTGTGCGCCGTGGTGATCTCTGGGATTCCTGATATTGCCCCCCCCCTACGGGCAGCCTCCGGATGCCCAACTGATTTCTCCTCTGTGGGTGGTTGTGGAAAAACTCCCGAACCAACCTAGGGACGTGGACGCTTTGGGCTGGCTCCCACGAATTCTCCTCAGGACCATAACCCTTCCACTTAATGAGAAACTGCGTTTGGCCTCCCCTCTTTCTACAATCCAAAATTGCCTCAACTTCAAACTCCTCTTCCTCGTCAATGGTCACGGCCTCTGGGGGTCTGGACCTCCGATCCAGGAAGGGATCTGGTGCTGCAGGTTTCAACAAAGACACATGAAAAACTGTGTGCATCTTAAATGATTCAGGAAGTGTGTGCTCATAAGCTGCTTCATTAATTTTTCCGTTTCACTCGGAATGGCTCCATGAACTTCGGTCCCAATTTCCTTGATGGGCATGACATTTTTAGATGGTCGTGGCTAACCAGACCTGGTCCCCTGGTTGCAGGATCAGTTTGCCTCTTCTTTTTCTGTCAAACGCCCTTTTATTATCCTCCTGGGCCTTAGCCATTGCCTCTTGTAGCACCTAATTGTTGGAAGAAAAGAAATTTATCATATCTTGTGTAGCGGGCACTGAACTTTCTGGGATCAGGTCAGGCAGAAACGTGGGATGGAACCCATAATTCGCAAAGAACAGAGATTGCTTGGAAGCAGAGTGACTTGTGTTATTGTACGCAAATTCGGCTAAGGGCAGGAGCGTCAGCCAATCATCCTGTAGAAATGAGGTGTAGCACCTGAGATACTGTTCCAATGTCTGATTTGTTCGTTCTGTCTGCCCATTTGTCTGTGCGTGGTATGCAGATGAAAAAGAAAGTTTAATTCCTAAGATCTCACATACAGCCTTCCAGAACTTTGAGGTGAACTGGACCCCCCGGTCCGAGACAATATTTTTTGGGATTCCATGGAGTCTTATAACCTCCTTCACAAAGATTTGTGCCATCTCGGGAGCCGAAGTTGTGCTTTTTAATGGAAGAAAATGGGCCATCTTTGACAGGCAATCTACAACCACAAAGATTACCGTGTGATCCTGAGAAGGTGGGAGCTCCACTACAAAGTCTATGAAGATCATTCTCCATAACCTGTCAGGTATTGGTAAGGGTTGTAATAGACCCCAGGCCCTATTTCTGGTGGGCTTGTTTCTCTGACAAATGGCACAAGTCTTCACATACGATTCACAATCTTTGACCATACTCGGCCACCAGAATGTGCGTTGTAACAGCTCTAACGTTTTACATGTTCCAAAATGGCCTGCCAATGGGTGATCATGGCAGTAACCCAGGACCATGGTACGGGACTCCTCGGGTACCACGATCTGTCCCTCTCTCCAGAAAAGTACTTCCTTGTTCTGCAAGTAAACCCCGGGTGGGCTTGGCATCTCTACAGATGCCGTCTGTAATTTGGAACGTAGTTCAGACTGGAGGGCAAGAAAGTTCCCTGTAGACTGAATGGTGTCTGGTTTGGAAACCTCATCAGGTTTTGATTCTTAGATCCAGGTCTATATGTGATATGGAACACGAACCTTGAAAAGAATAGTGCCCATCTGGCCTGGCGTGGTCTCCGGTGCTTAGCCGTCCTCAAATACTACAAGTTTTTGTGGTCCGTGAAAATTAAGATCGGGTGCGTAGCCCCTTCCAGCAGGTACCTCCACTCCTCCAGAGCTGTCTTGATAGCTAAGAGTTCCCGGTCTCCAATATCATAATTCCTCTCTGCTGACGTTAGTTTTCTAGAGAAGAAGGCCACTGGGTGCATGAGTTCTTTAGTACCCTTTCTCTGGGATAGGACTACCCCCACTGCGTTCTCAGACGCATCCACCTCCAGTACATAGGGTAAGGAGGAATCCGGGTGACTTAGAATAGGGGCTGTGGTAAACAATCCCTTCAGGGACTCGATTGCCACCGATGCCTCAGGTGTCCACCGGAAGCGAACCCCCTGCTTGGTGAGCTGGGTAATGGGGGACACAAGACCCCAGAAGTTCTTGATGAACTTTCTATAGAAATTGGCAAAGCCAATAAACCACCGAACCCCCTTTTTATCGATGGGTACTGGCCTCTCCATGATTGCAGAAATTTTCTTGGGGTCCATGGCAACTCCCGTGGTAGAGATAATCAATCCCAAGAAGGCAATACTGTGCTGTTCAAAGCTACACTTGTCCACCTTGGCATACAGCCCGTGTTGGCAAAGTCGCTCCAACACTCTCTAGACATGATCTCTATGTACCTCCAGGGATGAGGAGAAAATCAGGATGTCGTCTAAGTATACGACCACAAAGACATCTAAATAGTCTTGGAACACGTCATTTATAAAATGCTGGAATGTGGCTGGTGCATTGCATAGCCCGAAGGGCATGACCAGGTACTCGAAGTGCCCAAACCTGGTGCGAAATGCTGTCTTTCACTCATCTCCCTCCCTTATGCAGACTAAATTATATGCACCCCTCAAACCCAACTTGGTAAACACTGCTGCTGACCTTAGTCTTTGAAAAAGCTCAGAAACCAAGGGAAGCGGATAGCGATTTTTCACCGTTATTTTGTTTAATTCCCGGTAGTCCACGCAGGGCCTTGTCTTTTTTTTCTACAAAAAAGATTCCAGCTCCGGCTGCTGATGTTGTCAGCAGCCGACTGGTGGTAGCCTCTAGTGACCCACTGGCCGGAGTCCCTCAGGGCACGGAGTCTAAGCCTCAGTCTGCTGGTTCACCAGAGCCCCTGATGGTGGGGATGGACTTGAAGCAGCCTGAGACCAGGTCGCAACCCCCGAGGAGCACCAGCTGTGGTAGAGGCGGGTGCCAATGGCGTAGAGCAGGTAAGAGCCAGATGTGAAGAGCTATGTGTGGTCAGACAGGCCGGGTCGGTAACAGCAGAGCAGGTAGTATAGAGCGGTAGGCAAAGAATAACAGGTCACAGGCCGGGTTCAGCAACAGGAGGTCAGGCAATGGGAGCAGGCAGAGAATGATCAGGACGAGCCAGGGGTCAGAGCAGGAGAGGACAGCAGTATCAGGATCAGGCAGGGTTGGCAACAAGGCAATCAAGAGTACAGGACGATCAGGAACACAGAAACCAGGAAAAAGACCATAAGGCGATTTGGAGATGCACAGGGCTGGTTTAAATAGGGCGCCCTGTGCTCTCATTGGTGACAGGCACGCGTCTGCGATCGCAAGTGCGCATGCGTGGCCGCCGCTGCGCTCGCCTAAGTCTCAGTGCTCGCCGGCTAGATTGTATCGATGATCTACGCATGCACGCACCGCCAAGCGGCCGGGATCCCTGACATTGCCCCCCCCCTACGGGCAGCCTCCGGATGCCCAACCGACCTCTCCTTTGTGGATGGTTGTGATGAAACTCTCGGATCAATCTGGGAGCGTGGACATTCTGGGCTGGTTCCCATGAATTTTCCTCTGGGCTGTAGCCTTTCCATTTAATCAGGTATTGAACCTGACCTCCTCTCCTCCTGCAATCCAAGATTGCCTCTACCTCGAACTCTTCTTCACCGTTAATGTCCAAGGCTACCGGAGGGCTTGATCTGCGATCCGGGAAAGGATCAGGAGTTGCAGGTTTCAACAGAGATACGTGGAACACTGGGTGTATGTGAAAGGATTCAGGTAGTGCCAATTCGAAAGCTACCTCGTTGATCTTTCGTTTCACTGGAAACGGACCTATGAACTTGGGTGCCAACTTCTTCGATGGACAGGCCATTCTCAGGTTGGTTGTTGCCAACC